CCGGGCATTGCATAAAGATATGCTCGATGGTTTCATTTCTTTTTTGCATTGGGAAGGCAGATGAGCATCGGTGGCACCACGGGAGCGCTATTCCTTTTTGTTCCTGGTGAGTATGGTCAATTAGCCAAGCATTTGTCGGCAGGCAGTGATGGGCGATCTGCCATTGTAATGACGTGATTTTGGTCGGTCCCGCTTTGCTTCCATTGAACCATTTGATTGGCCTGAGGAGAGACCGATCCACGTTCAGGTGTTGGGCCTACCTATCGTTGATTCGGTCCCTTAACACTCTCTTGCATCTAAGCATCTTGTACATGGATTTGACAGATATGGTGTTGAGGTGGACTCTCTTTCCGGACGCAATTGCTGTTCCCCGGGCCGTCTGCCATTGCCATTCTTCAGGGTCGATGGGCAGCTCGCTTATTGGTGTTTGGGGGGAGAAGACTGTGGTGTCCTGTCCCTCCTGCAGCACCCGTACTCGGAACACCTCGTTTTTTTCCCGACATTCAAAGAGGTTGCGGGAACCAAGAAGCTTCTTTTTTGGTCCAATGGCATAATATTCCACCAACATCTCTGATACCCGCACCCAGTGGATCTGACCTATCCGCGTCGTATTCCATGGTATAGCGACCCGGTCCCCTTCCTCCAAGGTGGGGCCGCGTTTAAGTATCTTATACCAGGCGAGAGGGAGTGCTTCAATGATTGTTTCCAGGTGCTTCTCTGTGATGACAGTAACGGAGGGTGCTTTGAAGCTGGGTTTCTGTTTTCCAGTCCTTCCTCTCATGGTTCCACAGGTGCCCGACACGGAGTATCCCATTCTTCACCCATCCCTTCTAGGGGGCAGTTGAACTCTATATGATTACGATCCTTCAATCTATCTATATCATGTCTATGTCATGCAGAGCCAAATCAATATTCCACCTTATGTGCCATGATTACTCTAAATAGCAGGGGCATTGATTACTTCCCTGTGAGAGGGAAGGATTGACCTCCCGCCATGAACCTAACCCTAATGCAAAACGTTCTCGTCAACCACCATCAGCAGACAGTCATCATCACACTCCAAAAAAACAAAAAAAAACGTATCTTTTTTTTTTTTTTTTTTTAATTTTATTTTAGAAAGGCCCTTTGTGCAAGACCTCTATCCTGGTGGTGGTAAGAAAACCACCGGGATTGAGGCTTTGCCTAGCGGGCCGCTCCATCTATTGGTGGGGAGCGTCATCTGCTGGAAACCGGGTCTAGCGTCCCATAATTACATCTTGCTGCCCAGTACCATAATGAGAGTGACGCCAGAGTGCTGGAAACCGGGTCCAGCGAATAGAACACAAATGTTTACCTACTAACGATTGGTTGATAGATCACACCTGGCTAGAACAACAAGGGAAGGCGCTGCCATGGTGTCACAAATGCCTCCAGAGCTATCTTGGGAGGAGGCGGGCTGAAACTATTGAACATATCTTTTTGCAGTGCCCTGCGTCTGTACTGCTGTGGAGAACCTGGGATAGGATCTGGCGGCATATCGTTCCCGGTGTGGAATGGCCAGGGGATTGGAGGGCTATACTCCTGGGATACTACCCACAAATTAGGGACAATGCCTTCGCAGAGAATATGTTTAGCCTGGGAAGAAGGAGTGTCGTATGGACCATATGGTGGAAGAGATGTATCCTCGAAATAGAAGGAGCGTGTGATACGCAACCTCACGCCCCCTCGCGGTGTCCCGTACGGGGTCGCCGATCAGAGTTTTAGGAGGGGCGTGGCCGAGGATTTTTGGCCGTAAGGGTTGAGTCTCCCGGACGGAACGGGAGGCCCTCGTTTCGTGCCAGAGGTTTTCCCCGGAGTCGAACTGTCGTCGCGGAGTCCCGTGGGGGTCGGATCACTCCGAAACGATAAACTCAAAAAAAGGTTTCCACAAAAATGAACTGCCGTCATGCATCGGGACGGAAAAAGGCATCAAGGGGAGAGGGCCATGACGGCGGAGGACAAAACTTCGACCGTCAGGGGTTTGGGGGATAGGTGGCGGGTTCGAAGCCTTCATGCCTCACCATCGGCCTCACAAAGTCACCGAACCCTCGGGTCTTTGCCGCGGAGGTGGTTGGTTCGAGGCCTTCAAGCCTCGGCGTCGGACTCACAGAGTCCGCGCGAAAGTTTCCGGGAGGGTAAAGCGGCGGAAGGACTCGCCGGCATCTGAATTCGAAATTGCGCGGGCAGCGCCCCCGCACTACGGGAAAGCTCGGGGAAACGTGTCGCTCCCTCGTAACCCAGGACCAGTCGTCGCCAAGAACACGGGTCCCCCTGGCGACACCAGTGACAATCAAACTGCGGTTGCCACGCGGCGTGAGCGGCCGCCMARGGCAACACCGTCAAACCCGTATRAGGCAATATTAAAGTYGGGGAATCAAAAYGATCMATCAAAACAAACCCGTTCCCCCTTATCTCMCAAGCTCGAGGCRGGTCCTGCCAACACACTTGCTCCGTCCGCCTCAGCGCGCGCTGTACGTCYGCATCGCAATAKACGCTGTCGTCATCTGCGATGGGGAAGGTCGGTAGCGAGATGAGACGATCGGAGGTACGTGATGAACACGGGCAAGGYCCCGCGTTCCCGGTCATCCRAACCAACACCGAATCCATACAACAGTCGTCGCAACTCTTCTCTCTTTAAGGTGGGTGCGTCGAGGGAAGACGACAAAGTCTAAGCTCTCTCCCCTCGCGGGGGTGTCGACCGTCCGCGCGGACGCATGCGGTTGACGTCACCTGTACGGGGGCGAGAAACTCCAAAAGCGAAGACTATCATATCAAAAAGGAAAGCATTTGAGAGAGAGAGAGAGAGAGAGAGAGAGAGAGAGAGAGAGAGAGAGAGAGAGAGAGAGAGAGAGAGAGAGAGAGAGAGAGAGAGAGAGAG